AATGGTAGTATCATTAGCGAACAATGCCATAATGAATGATTAGATATGAGAATATCTGGAAGATCGTTAATGTAAATTAAAAAGAGTATTAGGCTAATAATAAAACCTTGAGGAAACCCTAAAGTTGCAGAATATGAAGAAGAGTGCTGTCTATCGAGGACAACTTTTATAGTATGATAGGAAAGGAAGGGCTCAATAATCTTAAAGATGTTACCAGATACACTGTGAAAATAAATCTTATGGAGAAGATCAGCATGCCAAACTTTTTCAAAAGCTTTAGAAATGTCAAGAGTGATGTCCTTAACCTCTCCAACTTTATCAATGAACAACAAAACTTATCAGTTACTACTGTTTGCAAATCTGCTGTAGTAGGAGAAGATCAAATTCCATATTGATGATCAGAAAGTAAGTTATTAGATTCAAGATAAGAAATTAGGTCTTAGTTAATTATAGATTCAAAAACATTGTCTATGATAGGAAGAAGACTAATGGGATAGTAGTTAGACAATCAGATTGTTCTCCAGATTTTTGAAAATAGGGGTAATAGTCATCATGTTACCCCTGGTGCATGATGCCATGTTCCAGTAGACTGGAAAACAAGCCTCTAATAAGCACTTGTTAATTAGTTTTGAAAGTATAGACAACAGCTCTGGAGAATACTTCTGCAAGACTATAACAGTTATGTTGTGCGGCCACAAGCTGTAGAAGAGTCTAAGCAGGAAATAACTTTTGACACAGAAGCTGGAGTGTTAGTAATAGCAATGGATCAACTTGTTTGATGGATAAATCAGGTAAAATGCAACTAGCGGAATCAAGAGATAAAATCGATGAAAGGTTCTTAGCAACCAATTCAGCTTTGTCTTTAGGTGAGGTGACATGATGTCTAAATCATACAAAAGAGGTGGAATTACGAACTTGCCCTTCTTATTGATTCTATTAAAGATTCTCCAGAAGTCACGAGAGCCTAGTTTTTGTGATGAAATACAAGATTTCATGACCTGAGAATAGCAGGCTTTGGCGTTGATCAAAACCTTTTTACAATGGTTCCTAGCAGTAATAAACAGACATCTGTTTTCTGGAGAATTGTTTTGCTGATAGAAATGGAAGTAACGGTTTCAATTGAAAATAGCAGCAGCATAATGAGAAAAAAAAACAAACAAAAAAAACCTATTCAGTGTGGTGAGCATTGAAGTCACCAACAACTACGAGAGATTGGCTTATGGATAAAGAGAGGATAAAGGTTTATGGATATGGATAAAGTTATGGATAAAGGTTTTTTTTGATATCAATTTTGATCAATTTAAAATTTAAAACTTTTTATTCATTGATCAAAATTAACAGTCTTTGAGATGAAGGAGAGCAATTTAGAACAAAGAGAAAGGTGATAGAGTGAAGTAGTGCAAAAGAAAAGCACATAAAAAAGTAGTCTGTGGATTTAAACCTAGTTTCCTAACAAATGGGTGAATTCTTACAAATGTAAATGCCCAGGCCAAGCATCTGACTATTGAATTCTTTACGAATTAAAGGAAGATAACCATCAACACTAAGATCACAAGATGAGACAGCTGAACTCAAATTAGTCTCACAAAGAGCAAGTAGGTAGATAAGACTCATCAAAAGTAAAGTTACTTTGATGATCACCAATATTAGTGAATAATGTGTTTAAGGAACTTGACGACGATGGTTTTTTGTGTTTTCTAGTTATTTGGTACTTTATTCAATTTTAAATTTGTTAAAGAACTTTACTCAGAGTGTAAACCGTGATCCCAAGCCATTGCCTCATTAATATTAATAAACCCTAAGCTGTAACAAAGTGTTCCAAATGTGGCCTTGACAATGCACACTAAAAGTACAAACATGGACACCATCCATGCGCAACATTGCGCTGTTAACACTTTGACATTTTTCAGCTGTTGATGGAATTAGCCTCTATGAGAGCTACCACAGAGTTTGGGAAACCTGCCTATCAGCCAGCCTCCAAACCATAAAACTGAGTTTTAAAGCTTTACCCTCATTAGGAGATGATAGAATGAGTTGCCTAATCATAAGACACAAGCAAAACCCATAAATTGAGTCAAGAAGATCTAGCATTCAACATCCTAAACTGAAAACAATGTATTAAAAATACATCTGTGCCAGCCCAATAGATGAAGATAGGGTGTGAGGTTGGTCAACAGATTGAATCTGTTTACCCCTTAAGTCTTTGCCTAGGAGGCCTTCTACCAAACAGTAGCCGAATGCGTTAAACTTTTACCCAAGATGAGTTTTTTTATCGAGATACCATCTCTAGCCTTTACTCAACCAAAAGCCCCAAAGCAATATAATATAATATTATATAAAATCTTCTCACATATAAAATCTGGAAATCAATTTTTTGTTTTTTTGTCGTTGTGAGTTCCTATAACATTGAGAGGTGGTAAAACATTAAAAAAAAAAAGCGGTCAGTGGTCTTGTTTGTCAAGGTTTGTGTTTCGGAGTTGGAGTTGAGAGAGGGTTGTAATAACAATTTGAGTAGCCTCCTCAACTATTATGTTAATTCACCTCCCCAAATGGCCTTGGGAAGGTGAATTAACATTAAAAAAAAAATGAATTTGAGAAAATAATGAGGAAAATTCATATATAAGAGTCATATTCATGCAGGGACGTGGTGACTCTAAAAGGCCCATGTGGCTTTTTCAATAAAAAAACCTGTATATGCGGGATTTATCAACTTTGCGTTTCAGAGTTGGTTTATAACCACAATTAAGTAGCCTCTTCATCTGTAGTGGCCTTTTTGGCCTTGAAGAGGTGAATTAACAGCAATAAAAAAAAAAAAAAACTTTTTATTTTACCAAAAACTGACCTTATTAAAAATAAATTGTCAATACACACCAATAAGTTGAATGTTTGTAATACTTCAAAACTAATAATGGTAACACAGCGCTGCAGCAACTGTTGTTTTAATTTCCTTAAAAAACTACTTAACTCTTAGTTATGCTAACCAAATACGATTTGTATTTTATTATTTTAAGAATAGCCATTAACACAAAATTAATATTCAAAGATTTTAGTTTTATTATGTAGTATTATAATTTTTATTTTTTTATAATACATTATTTGTTATAATAATACATTTTTTACATAATACATTTTTTTGTAATACATTATAATACAGTTTTTGATTATATATTAAAAAAAATTTGAAAAAAAAAATTTTTTCTTGAAAAATGCGAAATTATTTTTTATAGGTAGTTTACACTTTTGTTTGATTCTGCATTCTAATAAGCATTTTTGCAGAGCATAAACACACAACAGTTTTCTAAAAATGGTCCCGTAATTTAAAAATAAATTAAAGATAAAAAGTTTTATTGAAAAGTATTTCATATTTTTTTTAAATGTTATTTAGTTGTTTTTTCATTTTAAAAATAAATCAACATTTAAAAAATGATAACGAAAAAAAATTAAAAGCAATTTAATCTTTATTTTATTTTAACATAAATGTAAACATAGTAGAAATAAAAATGTGTTGTCAAATGCATTGAGTGTGTAGTTCTAATATCAAATTGTATATAAAGTAATCCAGTAAGTTAATTAATAGTGGAGAGTAGTTTTATGATTACCTTAATTGTATTAACACTTAGGAAAATTGAATTGGGAAGTTAAATGAATTGAGTGCCAAAATTTATTGGTTAAATTTACTAATAAGATCTTTTTTCTTATAGTATTTCAATAAAATTCAACGTTTTATTGAAATAACATTTTGAATCAACATTTAAAGGACTCAAAGGGTATTTTATTTAATTTTTATGTTTATTTGTAATTGTAAATGTAAATGCTAATTTTATTAAATTTAAATTTTAATTGTGTAATTTAAATTGTGTGTGTATTAGTGTGTGGTTTAGCATTTTGCAATGGTTTTTCCAGAAACATGAAAAAACGGAAATCCGAATGGGAAAAGAAGAAAACAAAATTCCAAGTCTAAATGAAGATATTTAATCAGAATGAATAACTCTCCCTGGATTCTTTGCATTATCATCAACTAATCCTTAACTACAACTAATCTTTGTGACTTTTTTGTTCATATATATTTTTATTGTTCATAATAGAAAGTTTGCATAAAACATATTTTCTTTAAATGTACTTCTTGTACAGCTTTTATCCTTTTTTAACCTGGCTGAGGACAGGATATTGTGGAGTGATTGCTTTATTTACCCTGCTTAGTGCTAAAACTGTTCTGAATTAAATAAATGAATGTAGAACACTTTCAAGTAGATGAATGTGCCATTAAACTATAATTATAAATTTAAATAGATGCCATTTTAAAATTTCTTATTTAGTTATTTGTATATGTACTAAAATTGTTTAAGTACATTTGAAATGCCAATACAACGTACATTAATAGAAATTAATTATTATAAAAAGCATTAATTGTTTTATTATAAAACAAGTTGATGTCGATTTTGAAATGTTACAAAAATGCGACACATGAATTCGGTACTTAATATATGTAATGATATATTACTGAATTTATTTTTTCAATATTATGATCATTTATAGGTTCATAATTTGTTTTCAATTATCTAATTTGTTTTTAGAGCAATGTTGTTAAAGTTATTATGCAAAATACTAGTATAATTGCACTCCAATTTAATCACTTTAAGTCAAGCGATTAATTAAATTGAATTAGTGCAAACATAAATATAGTAAATATACAAATATTTGGGGATTTTTTCAGAATGAAATTTCAAAAAAAATAAAATTGTCAAAAGGCCCATGTTTAAATGAAAAAATGAAAAACCTATGCAGGGATCCTGCATGGCCTCTGGGGCCACCATGCCCCTGTATTCACACATGAGAGGATATGTATCATATCAACATATTTTCAAACTTTTTGTTATTCATAAATAACAAAAAAGTTGATATTTTATATGATATATATACTTTCAACCTTTTTGTTACTTTAAAGCTTTAAAGTAGTCATAATTTTTTGTCAAAAAACTTTTATAATTATTTTTTTTCAGCAACAAAACTGTTGATTTGTCTCAAGAACCAAGAAAAGATTTCAAAAAAGGTGAGATTTTATTTTTGTGTTTTGTTATTCAGAAAAAATATTTATATATGATTAAAAATAACTTAATTGCAGAAAATCTAAAAGGGAAAAGAGTTAGAATTTATTCTTTATTTTTAAATTAATTTCTTATAAACAAGAAATGTTAATTCAAAAATAAAGAATGAATTCATACTCTTTTCCCTTTTATAAAATAATAAATTAATATTTTTTTTTTCACATTTTTTCTTTTTGATTTTATTATAATAATATTATATGTAATACAAGATAAAATATAATATAAAATATGTAATAGATAATAATTCAATTATGTTATTAGTAAATATTAGTTAAATTAAAATAAATTATTGTTTATATAAATAGTATGCAACCTGTAAATCAGATATTAGTGAATAAATCAAAATAAAAAAAAATTTAACTTAACATATTATCTGAAAAGTTTAATAAAATACAAATTTATCTATATTTAATTATTGAGTTTTGCTTTTTTTTAATTATGTCTTGGCTTTTAGTTAAAAATATAAATAGACCACATAACTTTGATTATTAGGTTCTTTTTAAAGTCAAATAACAGCAGGCACCTGAGAAATAAAGTTAAGTGCAACCTGCCAATACCTGACAAAAACAAAACAAAAAAAATGTTGAAAAAAATATATCTTCTTGAATTACAAAAGCATCATTTTATATATATTAAAACGGTTATATCTGACATATTTAGTTGTATCGCCTAACTCTACCTACAGTTACACAATAGCAGCTTTATTACTTTAATAAAACTTTATTAAAGAGTTAGGATGACAGTGTTTTCAAGGTACTGTGTTAAAAAAAGTTAAAGATTAAACAAGTTTTTATGAGCATAACTAAAGTAATGTTAATGACGATGGCGAAAACAATAATAATAGCTCAAAATAGTCATACAGGGATTATCTTTTTCTGTATATTTTGGAATTCCAAATATTTTTCTCAGCTTTTAGTTTTTCCAAATATCCAAACGTTTTCCATACATACAAATTTAAATGGATATTTTTGTAATATATTTGTATTTTAGGCTTTTTCACTCATGATTCATATAAAGATTAAAAAAAATTTGGTAAAAAAATTTGATACAACTCAGCTAAATGCAAAATTAAGGGATAATATATTCTGGATTTTTTCATATTATTTTACCCAAACAATTTGAGTTATCTTTTTGTTTTTGCAAGGTCATCGCAGATGGCGGTCGTATTTTTTTAACCGTTAAAAAAAAGAAAATAAAAAAAGGCAATTAAAAAGAGTTATAAATTGTTTCAATAAAGAATGCAAAAGAAAAGAAGAGTAATAAAAAAAAAACATAAAAAAAATTTTTTCTAACAAATAAACACTCAAAAATAACATTTAAAAAAACAAATAAAATAAAATTCAAACATCGATTTCTACTTAACAAAAGAAGGAAAAGAAAAGAAAAGAAAAAAAAAATACTTAAAAAAAGAGATAAGTTAATAAGAAGATAAAAAGAAAAGAACAGTTTAATAAAAGAGTAGATAATTTTTATAGTTTTCATTATTATCTATTATTTTTTATCTTATTTTAAATATTACACTTTTTTAAAATTTATATTACTACAATTTATTATTAGATTACTTATTTTGATATATTATGTTAAATATTTATTTTTATTATTGTAATTAAATTTTTTAATTTATATTTTTCTCAACTTTGATTAGTTTTTTTACTCTTTTAGTTTGATTTCATATCTTTCTTCAATATTTTATTTTTGTTATAGTATACAGTTTGTTTGGCTTTTGCATTATTGTTTAACTACCATTATTGTTATTATTTATTATAATTGTTAGTTTTTTGATGTTTTAATTGGTTATTGTATCTTTGTTTAGTATTTTCATGTTTAGTATTGTTGTATCTTGTGTTTCTTTGTTTAGTATTGTCATATCATGTATTTTTGTGCATTGATTATATTGTCTTGTGCGATGTTTATATTCTCATTTTTATTATACTCTCATATATGTCATTATAATGTCATATTCTTGTTCATAAAAGTTTAGTTTCTTTTAATAAAATAAATTATTTTTTTACAATAAATGTTTATATCGTGTGGTAGGCTGTTACATTTTGTCAGTTTATAATGTTTGTAACTTACACCGTCTGTACTTGTATATTAAATTGTTGTTTAAAAATTAATATTGACTTTTTAATTATATTAATACTTTCTTATTGTAACAATTGTTGATTAGTTTAACATTATTATTGCTATATATTGCTAATAGTTGTTAATATTAATATTTATTGTTAATATTGTTAATTAATATTGCTATGGTTATTGTTAATATTAGTGTCATTGCTATAGGTATTTAAATGCATTATTTTAATTTGTGAATATTTTAAATTTATATTTAATAAACCATTTTAATTCTTATTTGTTTTATTTTTATAATTAATTTAATAATTAATTGTGTAATACATTTCTAAAAATATTACAAAGTAATACACTTCTAAAAATTTTATAATTATAAATATTGCGGTTTTTATATTCGGTAAATCATTTTTTTTCTATAACTGTGTTTATGTCATTGCAAGGGTGATGATGTAACTGTTGGGCTGGTGTATATTCAGTTTTTTGTTTTAGAGATAGGGCTTTACGTTATTATTTTAATAATAACATAAATAATCAGCTGCAATAAATTTACGGCTGATTAAATTATTACGTTTTGTACCAAAAGTACAAAACATAATAATTTAATCAACCGTAAATTTATGTTTTGTTTGTAATCTTTGTTGTAAATTTTTTGTTTTTGTTTTTTTTTAGCAATTTTCAGTTCATATTTGTTATTTTTATTACTATAATTATTGTTATAATTAATTGGTGTCACTCATTTTGATCATGAGTGACACTCATGTCATTATATTATTTGTATTGTTATAGATAATGTTATTATTTTTTAATTTTTGTTGTTATAATTATTTGGTGTCACTCCTTTGATCAGGCTTCTGTTTTAGTGACATCTTTCTTTTCAAACAATTATTTATATTCATTCTTATAAGTTTTATTTTATTATAATTATATTGTTTGTATTATTTAGATATAATTATTATTGTATGATTATATGTAAATTTTGAAAAGGAAAATAAGTATCTTGTTGTTGCTGTTTATTTTCTGGATTGTTAAAACCTTAACCCTGACCCTAACCCTAACCCTGACCTGATTGATCTATGGTTATAGCACAATTAAACAATATTATTTTTCTCAATTATATACAATTCCACTATCTTCATAAATGTCGAATAACAATTAAATCAGCAAATTTTACATCATATAAATTTACTAAATTAAAACTATACTCTTCAACAGTAAGCAGACTAATAAAGTTTGATCCCCACCAAGCCCCTAGTAGTACCACGCTTAACTTTTTTCTCCGCGTAGCGGCCTTGTTTGTCAAGGTTTGTGTTTTGAAGTTATAGAATTGAGAGAAAGTTATAACTATAATCATAAACTTTATGATAATATCATAAAGTTCATGATTATCTATCGGATCTGGAATTTTTATCATTTCATCTCGCCTAAGTCTATTTCTTTCATTTCGTATACGACTATTTTCAACACGCCTTATAGCACTTACATCATTTTGTAAATACATAACTTCATCTAGCCTATCATTTATTTCAATGTCATCATTTTGATTAAACATGTTTATCAAAGCAACACTAATTATTTCTTTTTTTTACTACTCTAAAGTTAACAATAAAATAAAAAAACTTAATAAATAACTAAAAAAATCTTACTCAAAAAATTAAAAAAAAAAATTCTCAAAACAAATATATAAAGAATCCAAACTAATGCAAAATAAAATTAATTTGCCATCATCAAAAGTAATGCAGGTTTCTTAAGTTTATTTGATAAAAGTTAAGAAAAACCTGCAATCATATTAGCAAAAACTTAATACAAAAAGTTAAAATTTATTCTGTTTCTAATAAAGAAAAAAAAATTTAGAAACAAACAACATATCTTCGCAGACAGTGTCATAAGGCATGCATTGGGAGAAAACATTGAACAAAACGGGTAATAAAACGGGTAATTAACGCGTAATGTACAATAGAAAATGGGTTATTAACGCAGGTTTATAAATTTATTTCCCCCAACACACTATTACGCTGCCGCAACTCCAAGGATATACATAGTTATATATATATATATATATATATATATATATATATATATATATATATATATATATATATATATATATACATATATATATATATATATATATATATATATATATATATATATATATATATATATATATATATATATATATATATATATATATATATACATATATAAATATATATATATATATATATATATATATATATATATATATATATATATATATATATATATATATATATATATATATAATATATATATATATATATATATATATATATATATATATATATATATGGTATTTTACGTTGTATGGTATTTTACGTAGTTTAAGAAATAAAAATAATTGCTGAACTCCTATTACTGAAACAATAAATACTGTATTACTATTTTCAACATTTTGAGTTTAAGAACAGTATAGTTATACAATAAATTTTTAAAGTCTTTAAAATAGCTAAATGTTAAAAAAAGGGTAAATATGAAAGGGTCTTAGAGGAGTCTATTACCATTCAAAAGTTGGAAGTCATTATTAAAAATATATACATTTTAATTTTCATTTTTATAAATTTTGTTACATAAAGTATTTTTTAGGTTTTTTAATGGAGAAATTAGATGCAAAGATAAAAATAAATGATTGAAAAACTATGCAATTAAAAAAACTTCAACTTATAAATAAAGATTTCAACAACAACACATATACATTAATATCAGTAAAAGGACATTCACTTGTTTAAGTTCAATTCTTTGTCTTCCATTGTCTTCCAATAGCTCACCATGTTGTCTTTACACTTTTTATGAATACTTTTTTTACATTGTTCAACAAAGTTCTCAGCTATGGTGT